CACACGTGTAAGCGTGGCATGCATACGTGTGTGTGTGTGTGTGTGTGTGTGTGTGTGTGTGTGTGTGTGAAATTTATCTTAGGTGGACAAGGTACACATGCATCACCAAGGAAAGTTTCTTAGAAACCTCTGCAGTCTTTTCTGGCAATGCGCCAAATGCTGCATGCCGGGTCCTTGTAACACAAGTCATGAGAATGGAGAAAATATGATAAAATGCATATCACGTTAGATAGTGATCGGCGCTGAAAGGGAAACTAAGGCAGCAGATGGATTCCCCCTCCCCCACCCCCCTAAATCGAACGGCATAGGCAAATCACAGCAAAGACCTGAAGGGAACAGGGTTGCTGGCAGGGACAGGTGGGATTTCCAGGCAAAAGGGCCTCCACGGGTCAAGGTCCAGGGTGGGAGTGTGTCAGGATGCAAAAGGAACAAGGGGCCAGGTGGCTGGTCAGAGAGAGACAGAGACAGAGAGACAGAGAGACAGAGACAGAGAGACAGAGAGGGAGAGAGAGACAGAGAGACAGAGAGAGACAGAGAGAGAGAGAGAGACACAGAGAGACAGAGAGAGAGACACAGAGAGACACAGAGAGAGACACACACACAGAAAGACAGACAGACAGACACAGAGACAGAGAGAGACACACACAGAGAGAGAGACAGAGACAGAGAGACAGAGACAGAGACAGAGAGAGAGGAGCAGACAGCTGATGAGGTGGAGCATGAGGTTTACAAACCCAGTCAACCGGGAGGTGAGACCCTCGGAGGTGCAGCCTGCAGGAAGGGAGGCATCGCTGGCACAGGGATGGCAGGATGAAGGGGGTCTCACTTTCACTATGACACTTAGACTCTCGGCTCGCCTCACATCACAAGGAAGTCCACTCTGACTCCGTTCCTTACAAAGGACGGCTCTTCAGGAAACACCCACACGCAAACACTCACACGCATGCTCAAACACACACTGCATACGCACACACATGCACATGCGTGCACATGTACAATGCACGCACACGCACGCACTAGCATAGACACACACAGTGGGGGGTTCCCCCAGACAGTGAGACCCCAGCCATGTCACACACTACTCCTCCTCTACTGCCACAAGCTGGTCCTGGACACCCGTGTGCTCTCCTGAATTACCCGGGACCCCACCCAGCTTTTCTCAAATACGATAGGGAGCACCACAAGCTGTCAGTGAGAGCCAGGGAACGGAGATTCTGTCGGATCTCTGCCCTGAGGAGTCACGGAGGAAGACTGAACAGGGAGGCTCTGTTGGCAAAAAAAAAACAAAAAACAAAAAAAACAAAAAAACAAAACAAACAAAAAACAACATCTCCTTGAAGCTGAGGGTAAAACACAGTTGCAGTGTTTACAAGGCAAATGTTCAAAGAGGCCTGGGGCATGGAGAGCAGACATTGGTGGGAATGCAGGGGTGGGGACAGGAGTATGCCCTGCCCCACTCACAAGCCACAGACTGAAATGCTCTGAGGGCTGTTTGTGATCTGAATGCCCACAGCTCCACCCCTGCAAGCTCCGAGACAGAAGGAACCACCTTGCAGTGTCATTGGCACACTTGAAAGGCATGTTCCTGTGCCCTGACTTTTTCTATGAGGAGTGGCCTCTTCCTTGTAAAGGGGGAGGGGCTCAGACTTTGCCACTTCCTGTGGGAGGTGACAGATAAACCTCCTGGCTGGGGGTCTGTGACGGCAGGACAGAGACCAGAGAGGAGGCAGCCATGGCTTGCTCTTCCCTGACTCCAGGCCACCAGTCCCAGGAAGGGTAGGATGGGAAGGCAGGGAGGGACGGGCCCACAAGTCCCTTAAAATCCAACCACTGGGGTCCCCGGGGGATTTTTTTTTTTTTTGAGACATTCCCTATCTCTCAGGAATGCCTTTGCTCAACTGTCATTCTGTTTTCTCCACCTTCTGCAAAGGTGCTGGTACTCGGTACTCACCCCAGAAGGACGCTCAGGGGAAAAGAAAATAGTAAAGCTAGTTCCCCCTAACAGTCGCTCCGAAGAAAACAAAAGAGACACACTTCTGTGAAATGTTCCCACCACCTGTGACTCTGGTCCCTTCAGTGGACTTCCTTCTAAACACATCCCTGCTTTGGGGTTTTTTGTTTTGTTTTGTTTTGTTTTGTTTTGTTTTGTTTTGTTTTGTTTCTGAAAGGGTTTCACAGTGTAGCCCTGGCTGTCCTGGAACTTGCTGGCCTGGAACTCACAGAGATCTATCTGCCTGCCTCTGCCTCCCGAGTGCTGGGATTAAATCCGTGCACCACCACCATCTGGCACAAGGATGCTTTAAAACTATCAAAACATTAGGCCCTTGACAAGTTGGTTCATCCGCCTACTTCTCACAGGCTATTTTTGAAGCCAAATCACATGAGGAACTTGTTCATTTGGGGTTGGCTAGTTTTTGGCTTTTGATGCAGGGTTTTAGGTTATCCAAACTGACCTCTCTACATAGCTAAGGATGACCTTGACTTCCTGGTCCTCTTGCCTCTACTTCCCAAGTGCTGGGATTATAAGCATGCAGTACCACATCTGTTTTAAATGAGAGACTTTATTAAAATATTATTTTAAACATTGATTTATATATTTATGTACTGGTGTGTGTGTGTGTGTGTGTCTGCATGCATACCACACACAGTCAATTCTGCCTCTGCCTCCCAGAGGGCTGGGGTTGCAGATGTGTGCCAGTGAGTCTTGTTTTTATGTGAGTTCCAGTGATTAATCTCTGATCACTAGGGTTGCAAGGCCAGCATTTTTTTTTGTGACCACTGAATAGTTATTAAAAATCTCTCATTTAGGGCCAGGGCCAGGGGAATTGCCCCAAATGAGAGATTTTAAAAAAATATATATATATATTAGCTCTTTTTTTTAAGATTTCTTTATTTATCATGCATATACACTGTTCTGCTTGTACACCAGAAGAGGGTACTAGATTTCATTACAGATGGTTGTGAGCTACCATGTGGTTTCTGGGAATTGAACTCAAGACCTCTGGAAGAGCAGCCAGTGCTCTTAACCTCTGAACCATCTCTCCAGCCCGAGAGATTTTTTTTAATAAGTGGAGGCACTGACAAAGAGATGAGCATATGGGCAAGCTGATGGACAGACAAGGTAGGTAAGGGGATGGCGGATGAGGGGTAGGGGTACAGATGGCTAGAAGGACAGATGGGCAGTTAGACAGGTAGACAGATGGGTAGAAGGACAGACGGGCAGTTAGACAGGTAGACAGATGGGTAGAAGGACAGACGGGCAGTTAGACAGGTAGACAGATGGGTAGAAGGACAGACGGGCAGTTAGACAGGTAGACAGATAGGAAGGACAGACGGCAGTTAGACAGGTAGACAGATGAGTAGAAGGACAGACGGGCAGTTAGACAGGTAGACAGATGGGAAGGAGGATGGATGGTGAGCGTGTGAATATACAAGTGAGTTGGTGGGTAGGTGGGTGGTTATGAGGCAGGGTCAGTGTATGGCTGGGTGAGAGAGTGATCTTTAGTTAAAGTTAGAAGTAAGCATTTGAAGCCGGGCGTTGGTGGCGCACACCTTTAATCCCAGCACTCGGGAGGCAGAGGCAGGCGGATCTCTGTGAGCTCGAGACCAGCCTGGTCTACAAAGTGAGTTCCAGGACAGCCTCCAAAGCCACAGAGAAACCCTGTCTCAGAAAAAAAAAAAAAAAAGAAGAAGAAGAAGTAAGCATTTGGCCTTAACAACACACAGCCTCTGGCAGAGCACAGCTGCTTAAACAGTGGGTCGTGACCTCCTACAAAGCAACCACACCACACGCTGCACACATAAGGTTTCTGAATACTTCCTCCACTCTCGTTTCTTAGCGTGTAGCTATCAACTTACTACATCTTTGGACTGCATTGCGTTGGGACATCTGATTTTTTTTTTTAAACGCTGCTAGTTGAGCTGCTGGTTTGAATTTGACTTTTTCAAAATATTACTAAATAAATCTTGACTTGGGATTAGAGCGGAATCTCCAAATTTTTTGAAATGGCTGCCAACATATTTCTGCTATTATTGTCATGATATGTATCTGCTTAAGGACAGCTGTAAACATAACGTCTGCTATCATTATGCGTATCTGCCTAGTGAGTTCTCGGCATAGAAGATTTGCTTCTGCTATCATTATTATGAACATATGCTCTCAGCACTGGAGGTTATATAAAATCCAAATATCAGTCTGATTCCGATAAACACTGACTATGCTCTGTTTCTTGAAGGATCAAACATCCCACAAAGATTTAATTCTTTTTTTTAACTTTTTTTTTTAGATTTATTTATTTAGTATACAGCATCTGTCTGTATGCCCGCAGGCCAGAAGAGGGTGCCAGATCTCATTACAGATGGTTGTGAGCCACCATGTGGTTGCTGGGAATTGAATTCAGGTCCTCTGGAAGAACAGCCAGTGCTCTTACCTGCTAAGCCATCTCTCCAGCCCCGAGATTTAATTCTTTATAAAACAAATAAGCTCGTTATTTCTTTAGCATGCAAATTTGCCTTTGCCTTTAATAAATGGTGACAAATAACTTTTAACATAAATGTCTTTATGATTCACTATTCATACATGATTTGTATTACAGCTTTAAGGACTTATATATACCCAAGATCTTATTTTAAAAAAAAGTTTTGAGCAATAAAGGGTCACATGGAGGAACAGTATTCTTTTTAGCATTTTTTTTGCTTAGTTTGTATGTGTGTGTGTGTGTGAGAGAGAGGGGGGGGGGGACTCCTGATCCTTACAAGCATGCACAAACATACAGCAAAATCAAATAAAATAAAGCCCTCAAGACTTCTCTCCAAGGAGTGACATTTTCAAATACTTCCAGTCTCTTCCTCCACCCTTGCCCTGGTTTCCTAGTCTCCCAATTCTCCTCTGTCCTCTGCCTAGCTCCGGTGCAGGATGCCAGGTCGGGTACACGTTCTGAGCTACACACCCCTCGGGAAAAGACAAGGGCACGGCCGGGCACGGCCGGGCAGAACCGTCTGGGTCATAGGAGAATCCTCAAGGTGCTAGACACCTCCGCTCACACGACTCGGGTGCTGCTCACACGACTCAGGTGCCCTCCCTTCACTGGCTTATTAACGGGGGGGGTTGAGGGCTAGGGAACGGCTGGGCTATGGGGGCTGGGACCTCTATTTGACCTGGAAGCACACTGGTGCTCTTCTAGTAAATCTAGTAACCAGCTGGGGGGGGGGGACTGCTCAGGTCACATGCCTGCAGGCTGCGTGCTCAAAGGCTGTGGTTTGATGGCCTGTAGGTCCACCTGCAGGAATTGACCCCCTCGTGTCCATGCTATGAGAGGTGGGGCCGAACCCCAGGGCTCTGCCCTCAGGAATGGGCCAGGGTTCTTCTCATGGGAGTGGGTTACTTGATAGATTACTTTGTGCACACGAGTGCCCCCCCACACCCTCCTTCGCTCTCCTAATCTGTTCATCCGCCTTCCCTCCATGGAACGAGGCACCAAGGAGGGTCCTCCCGGGTTGCAGGCCCCTTGACCTTCCACCTCTGAGTCTTCAGAGGTACAGGAAATGGGCCTCGGAGGCTCCCTTACTGCAGCCCAAAGGGGACTGAGAGTGAGCATTGCTCACACACAGGGCTAAGCTGCCCTCAGCTTTCCACGCTAGACCACCAGGGCCTTCAGCAGTTCACCCAGTGGCCGGCGGCTCTTAACACACCCCATACGGTCTCGCAGACTTGGTTGGCCCCAGTACAATGAAGCAGCTCGGTCTCTCGAGAATTTGGGGGGAGGCGTGTTTGGTTATTTGGGGGGATGGTGATTGTCGCTTCTGCTCAGTGCAGGAGCGTTTGGTTCGCAGAGGACGAGCATTTGCAGTCCTGGCACTGAAAATCCAAACTACCCGAGTTACTGAGTCTTTCGCTGAGTCGGCTGTGGTGGGGCACGCCCACAGTCTAAGTTGCTTGGGAGGCAGAGACAAAAAGGCCAGTCTGGGACCTTTGTATCAAAAACCCCAAAGCGACAACAGATGAATAGTTTCCAAGTAGGTCCGGTCATCCCTAGGTTTCAGGGCAGAGCAAACCCAGTAGAGAAGAAGTATGTCGGGAGTAGGTACTCTGCCACCGTGTCTACGGCAAGGCCCCCGGATGTGCGACAGCAAAACCCTGAGGGGTACCACACGGGGCTGGTGTGCGAACCACAGGAGCACCACTGAAAAGCCAGTCCTCTGCTCATGACCCAACTCGGGGCAGTCTGTCACTAACAGATCCAGTGAGCTCCCAATTCAGCACAGATGTGTGAACACCTGGCCTGAACCGGTGCCGAGCACCTGTTTCTCAAACTAGTGTCCAGCCCACAAGTCCCTGGAGGGTTGGCACAAGCCCAGAGTTTCAGGAGGAAAAAAAAAAAAAAGTCTGGAGATCTACATTCTAACATACACCAAAGTCACAAATCCAGAATCAGTCAGCCATCTGTATCTGCCGCATCTTCCAGGACTGGTGGGTTTTAGAGCTACTGCCCCATCTTCGTAACCAGCAACCTGCCGCGCCATTTTCCTGCTCTAGCACGGGCAATGGGGAGAAGACTCCCCAGGAAGGGACCTGCGCCTGATCACCGCCAGCCAAGCCGGCAGGAGCTTCAGTTTGCTGCAAAATGACCAGATTTCTCCTCTCACACCATCAGGCTGACTCCTCAAAAGGCAAAGGGTAACTTCCATCCTTGGGTGCACACTGTCTGAAAGCCAAGCAATGCCAAGGAGGTGACAGTGATTATCCAGGGAACAATGGGATACACACACACACACACACACACACACACACACACACGCCAGCAGCCCCCACAGTGGACAGACACAGGGGACAGAAAGGCTGCTGTCAGGCTTGCATTTCTGGGGTGGGGTTGACAAAGCCACCCCCATGGGACAAAACCTGCTGGGAGTTTCCTGCCCCCCCCCCAGTCAGGCCCAAGCGCCAGTCACATCGTTGGCACCATGCAATGCACCGACTTCATGACAACGCCAACCTCAGTCTCATCTCTAATCAAATCTGCATCTCATGCCAACTGGTTGGACGAGCCTTGTGCCACACACAGAAGCTGTGAAAGCATGTGTGGGTCCCCGTTAGGCTGGTGCAGCCTCTCTCTCTCTCTCTCTCTCTCTCTCTTTGTCTCTCTCTCTTTGTCTCTCTCTCTCTCTCTCTCTCTGTCTCTCTCTCTCTCTTTGTCTCTCTCTCTCTCTCTGTCTCTCTCTCTCTCTCTCTTTGTCTCTCTCTCTCTCTGTCTCTCTCTCTCTCTCTCTTTGTCTCTCTCTCTCTCTCTTTGTCTCTCTCTCTCTCTGTGTCTCTCTCTCTCTCTCTCTCTCTCTCTCTCTCTCTCTCTCTGGACCATCCTCCACAGCTGCCCATGCCCATGCTGGATGGCCCTGCTTATTGACAATGCTGGGGCCATTACCTTCAATTCATTTTGAATTTAATTTCAGTGGCACCCCCTTGCCCCTTTTCATGTTTGAAAAAGTCTTAACTCATTTCGGGGGTTTTATTTTTTCTCACCTTGCTGTGAACCATCCCCTCCTCCCTGCAGTTCCTGAGTCACCATAGGAGCCCAGATGTGTATGTGTGTGTGTTTGTGTGTGTGTGTGTGTGTGTGTGTGTGTGTCTGTGTGCCTTGCTCCTTCAGACCAAACAGGAGCTCGGCCTCCCTGTAGGCCAGGCCAGATTAAAGGAGGAGGTTTTCTCACAGCTTGGTGTTAGTTGCATCAGCCTCTGTGTTGAAATGAATTTCAAATTCACCTGACTTTCCTCAGCAGGGAGATGAAGAGCAACACTCAGCAAAAGCGATTTAAGGAAAAGTCTTGCTTAGAAGCCGCTGTCTGATCCGCTGGTGAATTTTGACTATGGAGGCCGGAGAGATGGCTTGCCAGTTAAGAGTGCTTGCTGGTCTCACAGAGGTCCAGAGTTCGGTTCCAGTGTTCACTGTGACCCCAGCTCCAGGGGTCACATCCTCTCCTGGCCTCCTTACACACACACATGCAACTGCACATACAAAAACACATACATATAAATAATAAAACGCATCCTTAAAAATAAACAATGGCTGGGCGTTGGTGGCGCACACCTTTAATCCCAGCCCTCGGAAGGCAGTGGCAGGTGGATCTCTGTGAGTTTGAGGGCAGCCTGGTGGTCTACAGAGCTACACGGGGAAACCCAGTCTCGAAAAACCAAACAAAAGGGGCTGGAGAGATGGCTCAGAGGTTAAGAGCACTGTGGGTTCTTCCAGAGGTTCTGAGTTCAATTCCCAGCAACCACATGGTGGTTCACAACCATCTATAATGAGATCTAATACCTTCTCCTGGCATGCAAGCATGTACACAGATAAAAAAACTGTATACATAATAAAATAAAATATTTGAAAAAGACTTTATAAAAAATGAAAAACCACACCAAACCAATAAATAAATAAACAAGGAATTGTTGGAATCCATAAACTCACAGTCATGCACTGTCCCTATGTATCTTGTAATCACCAGTTGAGGGGGACGGCACACGGCCATGTAGGCCTATGGGTTTTAGGCATAGGATGGGTTTGGATCCAGGGCTGGTCCGGTGCCCAGTGGTTACCTGGTGACAGGTGTGGCCAGCTTCTCCCATGACCCTTTTCCTCTCCTCTGGAGTGAGTCTGCTAAAAAGTCTCAGTTACAACACTGCCCAGGCTGAGAGAGAAGGTTAACCAAGATGATGTCCAGTGCATAGCCAGCGCAGCTGTCAATCACCTGCCAGGCCGGCGTCTTATGGCCTGCCGTGAGGACCAGGCATGTCAAACCCTTCCCCAGGATGCCGCTTACTTTTCGTTCACTCCCCAGAGTCTTTTCTCACAGCCCTTTGATTATCACTGACGGGTGTGCTGCGCCCCAGAACCAGGTGGCCAAGACAGGGGGATCAAGAGTTAGAGGGTGCCAGAGGCCACTCAGAGGCTCAGAAATGGCTGTGTGTTCACGTCCAGAGGATTGCACACCCTCTACGTGTACCTGGTGTTCTTACATGCATGCAGCAAAACACTCATTAAAAAAATCTCACAATGTTATTTAAATAAAACAATAAAGAAAAAAATCTCTGGGGCTGGAGAGATGGCTTAGAGATTAAGAACTCTGGCCGGGCGTTGGTGGCGCACACCTTTAATCCCAGCACTCGGGAGGCAGAGGCAGGCGGATCTCTGTGAGTTCGAGGCCAGCCTGGTCTACAAAGCGAGTTCCAGGACAGCCTCCAAAGCCACAGAGAAACCCTGTCTCGAAAAACCAAAAAAAAAAAAAAAAAAAAAAAAAAAAAAGAACCCTGAGACTCCACCATCTACATTTCAGAATGGCCAAGATCAAAAACACAAGCGACAGCTCTTGCTGGAGGGGATAGGGGAACCCTCCTCCACTGCTGGTGGGAGTGCCGACTCATACAGCCACTCTGGAAATCAGCATGGTGGTTTCCCAGAAAACTGGGAAATGATCTACCATAGGACCCAACTCTATCACCCTTGGGCAAGAATGTACCCAAAGGGTGCTCCATCACACTGCAAGGACACTTGCTCAACTGTATTCAGAGCGGCTTTACCTGTAATGACCAGAACCTGGATGTCCCTCAACCAAGATGACCAGAACCTGGATGTCCCTCAACCAAGGAATGGATAAGGAAAAAGGTACACTTTCACCATGGAGTATTACTCAGCTGTTTAAAAAAAAACCACGGCATCGTGAAATTTGGAGGCAAATGGATGATGGAACTAGAAAAAGAGAGTTTCCTGAGCGAGGAAACCCACATGCAGAAAGACAAGCCTAGTGTATACTCTGGGATGTAAAGGACAACCATGCTAAAACCCAGCCACCCAGAGAGGCGAGGAAACAAGGAGGGCTGGGGAGAGGGCGGTGCTCGCTTGGGTCTCCCTGGGAAGAGGAAATAGATAGCACGCAGATAAGAAAAGGAACAAGAAGAATCAGGTTGAGGGGCAGGCAGGGCAGGGAGAGTACAGAGGGCAATGGCCCCAGCTAAGACTCCTAGCGATAGTGCCTATGCAGCCTGAACCGACCATCTCCTTTGGCCAGGCAAGACTTAAGACTTGCAGTGGAGGGATTGGGACACCAACCCGGCCGCATAACCTTTGACCTACAGTCTGTCCGGAGTGTGGGAGGCACAGAGACTGTGGCAGTGGCCAATCGATGACTGGTCTAGCCTGAGACCCACACCAGGAGACTAGGCCCACCCCTAATGCTGCCTGGAATGCCGGGATGTCTGCAGAGGCTGGATGGCCCAGAGACCTAGGATAGAACCAAATATAACTGGAGGGGGGAAAATGTCACTGTAATGGTGACTAACGATATTCTGCTATACTCGTTGATTGGTGCCCACCCCAACTGTCATCAGAGAAACGTCATCCAGTAACTGACAGAGACAGATACAGAGACCCACAGCCAGACATTGGGCTGAACTCGGGGAACCCTGCTGAAGAGGGGGAGGAAGGACTGTTTGAGTCAGAGAAGCCAAGGACATCGTGAGAAAACTCACAAAATCAACTAACCTGAGCTCATAGTACACCTGAGTACATAGGACTCAGGCATTAGGCTGGCCTGCTCCTGTCACCTGGCAGAATGCACTCAGGCAGTGCCCTGGTCGGCCCAGGGCTCCATGGCTATTAGGGTACAAAGGACCCCTTTAAAAGACAGCAACCTACCCTCTCTCTTTCCTGCTGTCCCCTGGGGCAGACAGGACAGTTCCTGTCTGTCTCTTCCGTCCTCTCTCTGTCTCTGTGTCTCTTTACCTCTTTTCTCTTTCCTTCCCCCTCCCTCCTCTTTCCAATAAAACTTCTCAGTAAGCTCTGTCTGCCTGGAATGTTTGTCCCTCCACCCCGGTCACCCTCCCCTGCCATGGAATCCCACAAGGTTCCCCACACGCATTACCCCTAACAATAGGAGCTCACAGAGTCTGACCTGACGACCAGGGAGCCTTCATGGGACTGGACTGCCCTATGTCCTCTGCATGTGTGTGACAGTGGCGGCTGTCCCCAACACTTTGGCTGGGACCCTATTCTTCATAGCGGGTTGGGTGGCCCAACCTTAATACAGGGGGAGGTGTTCAGTCTCACTGCAACCTGATGTGCCACGCTTTGTTGATGTCCGTGGGAGGCCTTTGTGAACAGAAACAGAGGAGTGGGTGGGGTGGGGCAGAGGGGAGCTCAGGGAGGGGAGGGGAGGGGAAGGAGGGAAAACTGTGGTCAGGATGGGAATAAAAAATAAATAAAATGAAAAACCTCTAGCTGCTCTTACAGTGGACATGGGGTTTGATTATGAACACCACATGGCAGCTGACACCCAGTCTAACTTGAGTTTCAGGGGATCCAACACATCTTCTGGCCTTGGTGAGCACCGGGTACGCACCTGGCACAGAGACATACATGTAGGCAAAACACTCGCACGTGTAAAATTTAAAAAAAACTCGTTAGTGAATTATATAGCATTTAAAAAAATGTATCTTATCAATGAAGCTTCATTTTGCATCAGGCGAAGACCCTTACAGAAATCCACAACTGGTCAAAATAACGACTGACCAGTCCCAGTTGACACACCTTCAACACAACTCCTATACCTAAGGGTCCAGGGAACATTGAGAGAGAGAGAGAGAGAGAGAGAGAGAGAGAGAGAGAGAGAGAGAGAGAGAGAGAGAGAGAGACAGAGAGAGAGACAGAGAGAGAGACAGAGAGAGACAGAGAGAGAGACAGAGAGAGACAGAGAGAGAGACAGACAGAGAGAGAGAGAGAGAGAGAGAGAGAGAGAGAGAGAGAGAGAAGCAGCACCCAGGAAACCTCAACCATGTGTTTCCCTAAACAAGACCCAGACAATGACACCGCCAGCGGACACACTGTCATGGATGCAGGGAATCTCAGCAGGTCTCGCCCCTAGAGCTGTAGGAAATCTGTAGCTGCCAAGGGGGGGATGGTAGGTCCCTGGTCTTCTATGTCATATGTTCACTTCTCTGGTCGCTTCTGCTCTCCTCTAGGTTATTGCGCACTGTGAGTCGGCTGAAGCTTTGTGGCCCTTCCTGGGTCAATACTGGTCATATTGTCCCATATTCAAGGGTCGGATCAATATCACTCATATTGGTCTGAAGTTTACTTCTTCCCCGCCGTCTCCCCCCCTCCCCCATCCTCTCTCTGGTCTCCGGAGCTACCGGGACAAAAGAGGAACCACGCTGTGTGTACGTTGGAATATGGTCTGAGCTCGGGTTGCTGTCACAGAATACCACAGGCTGGGTTGTTTAAATAGCAGGAATCTATTTTCCCATGGTCCGAAAGGTGGAGGTAAGAGACATGGAGCCATCGAGCAGACGGGTCCTAGGGATGGAGACAGCCGCCTTCCCCTACTACGTGCTCACGTGTAGAAGGAGGAACAGCAACCCCACCCCCACCCCACAGATTCTTTTCATGAGAACACCCACCCTGCCTCACAGTCTAACCTAAACCCCGGTCACCTCCCGCACATCTAACCCGAACCCCACCACGCTGAGATTTCTACAAAGACGATAAAGACAGGCATCTGTCGAAGATGCCTGTTTCTACCACTGTTCAAGAAAACCGCCTGTTGTGAACTGTATGTATGGCTTATTTTGTTTCAAAATTGCTAGACGGATCTGAAGTCTGTGGTCAAGGGCCTTCTGTCCTCTCCAGCAGTTGTAGATGGTAAGTAAGTTAAACCATTGACTGTAAATTAAAGTCTCAGCTAAGTTCAACCACCTGACAGACTGTGCCTGCCCCCCCCAAAGAAAATATGGTCTGTGTAGCAAACGGAAAATGAGGTGCTCCTGGCACCTGGGTGTGAGGCCATCATCCAAGAGAACACGACTCAGCACCACTCAGCACCGCCTACAGGCTGGACACAGTGGAAACAATGTGTCTAAGTGTGCTGCCTCCCACTTGGGCAGAAATAGCTTTCCAGTAGAGAAACACAAGACATGTACAAAGTTACAAAGATTATTCAAACTGAGTACAGTGGCTCGTGCCCTATAATCCCAGCGTTTTGGTTTCTGAGACGGAAGGGCTGCAAATTCGAGGTCAACCTGGGCTATGTAGCAAGCCTCTGTCTAGAGAAAAGAAATAAACGCTGAAACAACTATCTATGGTGGAAGATGTTTTCAGCAGCACACAGTCTCCAGCTTGTCCTCAGAGCGGCTGGTACCTGGACCTTTTCATGTGGAGCCCCCTTATGATTTTAAATAGACGTAGTCATTATGCCTCTCTAGAGAAAGAAGTGTGGCTCGGGGGGGGGGGGTGTTGATGCCCTACCCAAACCACCTGTCAGAGAGCAAAGTCAAAGGTCCAATTCAGACTTCCTTTGCCCAGGACTGGGCTTCTACATCACCACGATGACTGTATAAACTAAAACCCAACAAGTAAAACTGAAATACCATTGGCCCAGCGCAGCGTGGGCATACATGCATAGTCCACACTGACTCCCAAGGTCCTTCAGTCTTTGATATCTAAACTATGGCCATCTGCCTGAATGGAGAGGCTCCTTGGCATAGCATGGAGTCACTTAGCTGGAGGAGATGGAGATTCACAGGTTAGCAGGGTCTGGTGGGAGACTGGAGGCTTGCGGGTGGATCAGATCTCCAGCCTCGCGCCTGCCGTAGAGGTAGAGCCCAGTGTCTCACTCACTAAGGCAACAGATGAATCCAGCTCTCAACTGAGCAGCCTGTACTCCACATAACAACCCTTCCTCATCAAAAGACACAGACCCTCTGAGATCACAAAAAGCCTGCTTTATGTTTTCTTGGAAGATTTGAATGTGCGTGCATGTGATGTGTGTGTGTGTGTGTTTGTGTGTGTGTGTGTTTGTGTGTGTGTGTGTGTGTGAGTGTGTGAGTGTGTGATGCTCACCAGAGGCCAGAAGGTATCAGATCCCCTGGAGTGGGAGTTACAGGCAGTTGTGGGCTGCCAGGCGTGGGTGATTGGGAGCAGCAAGTTCTCTTAGACACTGAGTGTTCCTCCATCCCCAACAAGCACACATTCTCTGATACAGGAAGGCTTCCTGAATCGATTGCACCGTGATGTTATAGAATAAAAACTGAGCAATTTTCTTTCTCGCCAAACCAATCCAGTTGTCGTTTGAATATGGAATGCTCCCCCATAGAGTCTCACGTCTTAGGTACTCATTCCCTGGCTGGTGGCTTTATTGGGGAGGCTGTGGATCATTTGAGATAGGGATGTCTGGCTGTTGGCAGTGTGGTGCCCCAGGGATGAGCCTCTGAAGGGGTTCTGTGGTCCCGGATGACTCTGACTTCCTGTTCCTGATTCTGACTTCCTGTTCCTGATTCTGACTTCCTGTTCTGCCATATTGGAAACCACCTCCTCACGTGCTCCCACAGGCATGAAGACCATGCCCTCCCCGCCATGGTGGACTGAGAGTCACAATAAACATGTTTTCTGTTCCTTTGTGGTTGTTGTTTTGGTCATAGTGGTGTAAGAGGTGCAAGGTTATCTTGCGAACTCACCCCTCTTCCCAGGTTGCTTCAACCCCATGGGTCTTCTCCTGAGATAACCAGGAACACAGGATAGAAAACAACAACAACAACACCATTGCACTGGAGGATGCATTTTTCATCCCCAGAGGAACTCTTACCTGTGTCCCCTGGCATGCGCCGCTGTCTTGATCAGCGCTGACCGACATCCTGGTTTCTTTCCTCCTAGAAGCAGCTGGCAGCCAGGGTCTGGGATTCATCACTGGGGAGAGAGACCGGAAGGTGATCAGTGAGCCAAATTTGTAATTGTATGAATGTTCACTATCCTCTATGCAAGAAAAGTATGCACCCATGTTGAGATAGGGCTGCTTAATGCTGAAAATCCAGCCAGTGTTTGGAAAGTATTGAACCCGGGTTCTCTGGAAGAGCAGTCAGTGCTCCTAACCATTGAGCCATCTCCCCAACCCCGCCACCTTACCTTTATACCTTTGGGTATAAAACTAAAATTTACAGGCTTTTCACCCATGCAAGGTTCATCTTTGAATTTCAGCATTTGTTTGTATGGTCAGTATGCATAAGTGATAACAGATGTTTTTATTTATTGAGCTAGGTGTGGCATTCCACACCCGAATCCTCAGGACCCAGGAAGCTTTGGAGGAAGAGTACACATGTTGTGTAGAGAGACCTTGTCTCTGGAAATTGCCTGAGGTGACAGAACAAGGGGTGACACAGACTACAAGCCTGAGGTCAGTCTAAGCAATTGCATGAGACTCAGCCTCAACACGGTTTTTATTGTGGTGGTTGTTGTTGTTGCTTTAAATAGAGAGCTGAGGATATTGGTCAGTAGTAGAGTACTTGGGGACCTGAGTTCAACTGAAGGCTCCAGAGGAAATAAAGATACATCTTAAAAAATAAGAAATAAGAAGATACCACTGTTCTCTCTCTCTCTCTCTCCCTCTCTCTCTCTCTCCAGCTTACTTTTTTTGTTTTGTTTTATATGCTTTGCTATTTTCTCATAGGTGCCGGGTCCCCCTAGAGCAGGAATCACAGACATCTGTGAGCTGCCGCCTTGGTGAATTGAACCCGGGTTGGTCTGGAAGAGCAGCCAGTGCTCCTAACCACTGAGCCATCTCTCCAACCCCGCCACCTTACTTTCTGAAATAGGTCTCTCAGTGCCCAGGAGCTCACCAGCTCAGCCAGTCTGGCTGGGCATTGATCCCTATGGACCTTTGGTCTCCACCTCCTTGGAGTTGGGATTATATGCTAGGCGCCATATCTGGCTTTCACATGGTCTGGTCTGGAGACCCAACTCAGGTCCTTTAGTTTGTGCAGCAAGTGCTTCATTAGCTGAGCCAACTCCCCAGCCCCACAGGACCCTTTTATAAGATATGATCAACCATTAAGGGCCAAGAAAGCTTTGGCGGCAGACACACCTCTAAACTGACCTTGGAGACTGTGCCTTTCACCTTCACACAGAGGTGTTTTCAGCAGTGGAAACTGTGAACTCTTAACTCCCATAGGCAGTTTAGACTGGCTTTCTGTGCTCATCCAGAAAGACTGCCTATGCGTTTCCCCAGCCTCCAGTCCTGACGGTACACAAAGGGCTCACTGTGAAAAGCTACTACACCGCCGAGCACCAGCTGATCCGCCTTCCTGGTGTTCTCGCTGCGTGCTTGCTGCCCTCCGGGCACTGCGCCCACAGACGCAGGCAGGGGATCCTTCCCTCCAACACTCCACCCCACTTGTCACACGCATGCACACTCAGTCCTTAGCGAGAAGCAAACAGTCAGTAATTATCAAAACGGAGTTTCTTCACTTTGGTGAGAGAGGTGGAATGCCCTGGCAAGACCTAGGGGAAAAACTCAGTAATTCTCCTTACCGGGACCCAGTCACCAGCAGGGCGGCTCTGCTGACTGGACAGAGAGGAAAACATGACCCACATTCGCCACGTTTTCCTTCCTGGTGCTTATTTTTTTATCACCAAAACCTTTGTTTTGTTAATTATTAGAAGTCAATACAACATCTACATCTTTAACCACAGCTGTCTTAAGAACTCAACCCCAGCTAAAAAAACAGGCAGGCCACTTGTCACTTCCTAGAACCAAATGCTAAAAGTAACAAAAATCCCCAGTGTGGTGTGGGGGGGGGAGAAAGATACCAACACTTAAATCTTATCCTCTGGAGCTTTTCTTTCATTTCTACTCCAAGGACTTCCTCCTGAGCCAGCTTCCAGAAATCCTCATAGTCAGTCATGTTCTTCAGGGCTCCACACTTGGTCAGCTCATTTTGCAACCCTATAATCTTATTTTCAAAGAGAATGGGCATATATGTAAATAAATACACACTACTGCGGAGAGGCATTTCTAATGGCAAACTGAAGGTCAGGAGATGAGTGAAAACATAATCCTGTTTCTAAACATTGGAGTACCTTCTGGCTAATTTCAATTTACCTCGGCTCAGGGTTCCCGCCAAGATTGACACAAGAATTAACACTACTCATCCATCACACTTTTAAAGTTTTCTGTCTGCAAATTCTGTGTGTTGTTTGCATTTCAACAGTCGAAGGGAACCAGCAGAAGGCAAGCAGTGCCGTTCCTCCCTTTTATTTAAAGCTACTTAGTAGCGGCCTCAAGTTCACACTAGGGGATTCTTGCGTGGGAGGAGGGCTGGTCTGAGGGCAGCATGAGGAAGGTGAGTGTCTACAGTTACTATCCTTTGTGACCAACATCCTCTACCCTAATTGCCACATAGGAATATGCTGTTGGCGGCAAGGGCGGCCTGGGGACCCTCCCTCTTTCATGTGTAGTTCTGCTCTGTAGACACAGGGGTCCATCTCTGTGGCCGGTTTGGCCCTGTGGAGGAACAGCTACCTCCAGCACTTGCCTGAGGGGAAGAAGACCCCTAGAGCTTGAGGTGGTGGCATTTTCCATTCCAGTTTGGGAAAAGGCAAAAGTCCCGATTTACATAGTTCTAAGTGGCTTTTATATGTGGTTCTGAGGGAAAGGCCATTCCAAAGTCACTTTCCGTGCAGAGATCAACCCCTGGACCTCCTGTGCAGCCTGAGGCAAGTCAGGCTCTTCTGGAAGCCGGCAGACACAGAGCTCAGCATGAGTTCCTGACACCTGGCACAAGAGATGCCACGCAGGGGGGGACCAGCTCAGGCCCTCATGCAAAACAACGTGGCCTGGGATTTAACAAACCCAAGAGTAAAACAAAACCGGCCATGCACCGCCCTCTAGCCAAGGGTTTGTTTGAGGGATCAAAAATGCATCGTTTCTCGGATACCCGGTCTAATATCCGACGCAGAAATGGGAGGTGGCGGGTTAAGCTGGTTTTCTGTGGCGACTGGACAATCTCAGACTCAGGTAGCATCACTCTAAAGGAAAAACTCTTACCCCCTATGCAGGAGGTACTCGAAGGACCCAGGACTAGGGAGGGTGGGGGGGTTCCCTGCCAACTCAAGCCTTAGAGCCAGACCCTGAAGCCCAAGGATGTGTAGTGTAGGGCTTGGGTCTTCCGTGTCCCCTCTCCCCGGCCCCGCCCCCAGCTCCTGGGCAGGTGATTGGCAGTCTGATGAAGAGGGCGAAGGCCCTCCTGGAGCTGCAGGGCACCGGCCCCACCTTTTTTCCTGGGCCTTTGGGATGCTCAGAGAACTGCACAAGGGGTCCTGCCTTACCAGGTAGGTATTGGACCTTGTAGGGAACCGGGTGAAGACCTTGGGAGCCAACGCTGGCGGGGCTTCCGGCTGTGGCTACAAACAAGCAAAGAAAGAAAAGTGGTGAGCATTGGCGAGCCGTGTCCAGAACAAAGCTGCGGACCCAGGAGAAGTAAACAAGCAGCCACAGGAAGCCATTAAGCAGAGTGGGCGCTAATGAGAGCACTGCGGGGAGGTGTGGGGGGGGGACCAGCCAAAACCACCAGGGACTGCCTCTCGCCAGGCAATTTGGAGCCCAGAGCCCTGCTGGCAGGCCATAAACCTGTTTGTAGTCTCCATCCTTTACCCCTTCAAGTTTGTGTCGTTAGGGGTGAGAAGGACCCTTGGATGCTGTGATCTCTTCTCCGGACCTGCATTTTCAGGGGGGGCGATGGACTCCCAACTCCAAGGTAAAGGGCTGCCTGCTTCTCACCCCCAACCTTGACTGACCACGGTGGGAGACCGGGAGTTGTTAAGCCCACCTTGCAGAGTCTTTTGGAACGGTTTCTCCTTTGACTTCCCAAATGTTCCTCTGAACCTCCACAGGTTATAAACCTCAAGGACCAGTGACTCGTCTAAAACATTTCCTACCATTTACTACTGGGCGCTGGGCTGGCGTTCTTCTATGGCAGGGGTGGAGCCTGGCCTCCTGCAGATGCCCGGGTGGGGGAGGAGGCGCTACAGGTACACCTTCTGAGCATCCTCAGGGATGCTGGTCCTCCTACCTTCTTGTCCTCCCAGCAACCACACCCAGTGGCCAACCCTCCCACCTGCCATTCCGGGCCCTGGGTACCTCACAGATCTTTCTCCCAGTCACTCCCCCAGACCACACACAGAAGGGGCCTTAGGAAGTCCCGTTTCTAGATCTTAGATGATTCCGGAAGTATGTGGGAAGACCAGCTGAGGATAACGTGTCTGTGCAGATGTTGCCTTAGCACCACCTAGAACTTGTTTATGATCTCTTTGATGGGGGGGGGGGGAAGAGGGGGGCATCCTGCAAGTAGATCGTCATAAATACTTCAGTCAAATTTAAAGACGACAGATCACCCTAGACAACCCCCAGTAGAAACAGTGGTAAAGACTGTTTTCTTCCTGCTAATCAAGTCTGCTTGTCTCCCTGGGTGAGCATGCACACACACACACACACACACACACACACACACACACACACACACGCCTTCACTTTCACATTCCTGCCAGTGTGTCTTGCTCAGTGAAAATTCATTCAAATATATGTTTTCATTTGTATATTTTACGTTGCCATTCACAGGACATTAGAACAGCACACTACCAATGTGTAATGGAATTCCTGACCCATTGACTTTAATTGAACTACAACCCCAAACATAGGAATTTAATCCACATACATACACACACACACACACACACACACACACACACACACACACACACACACACATTTGGTCCCGAGACATGGGTTTCAGTGGATGGAGTAAACCCAGAGGATGACTGGCCACTCCCATAACACTGGTTCCCGTATTGCACCCATGGTCTTGCCTTTGGAGGCCAGTCATTACTACAGTTCACAGGGTTCCCAGATGCTTAAGATGAATGCTTACTTCCTCCTGTCAGTGAGCACAGCTCCTTCTACGGAGCGCTATGAAAACTAGCCAATAGGGATGAGCCTTCCAAGCTAGCACTGGCGTGATTTCTCCGTGCTCTTTTTAAAAAGGTGTCCTTTTCTTTTGTGCATGTGAGTGTTTGCTTGCATGTAGCGCATGTGTGCAGTGCCCGTGGATGTCAGAAAGGGTGTCACACTCCCTGGAGCTGGAGTTACAGGTGGTTGTGAGGCACCAGGTAGGTGCTGGGGCTCAAACCTGGGTCCACTGGAAGAGCAGAGCGCGCTCAACCGTGTACCCGTCTCTCCAAGCCCCTCTCTGTGCTCTCTAACTCAAGTATGCAGTATTTTCACGATAGGGTCTTACTGTCACACTCTGGAAGGTGACCAAGAGCTCTAGCATAGCCTGTAGTGTTTGTGGGTCTAAGAGCACTGGCCAACAACTCCAAAGGAGAGTCAATCTTAACGTCTAATTTATGCCCTTGGTAACTATTTCAATTAAATAATTGACATGTATATATTTTTTAGATTTTATTTTACTTTGTATGGATGCTTTGCCTGCATGCATGTATTTGTACCACGTGTATGTCTGTTGGATCTCCTGGAACTTCGGTGACAGGTGGTTGTGAGCCACCGTACAAATGCTGGGAATCAAACCCAGGTCCTCTGCGAGAGCAACAAGTACTCTTAACCTTTCAGCCATCTCCAGTCCCACCCATGTTTTTTATTTTTGTTTGTTTGTTTGTTTTGCCTGGGAACTGTTTTCAGCTTTGGGAGTAGTGGCAATTAGAGGAACTAGGATTGCAGAATGTTTTCAGGGCTCAGTCTGCTGTTTCTGCTTCCTCACCCCAAAGTTCTCTCACAGGCTCTGCTCTGGGAAAAGGAGAGTGAAGCCTGCCCCCTACAGCCCAGGCTCTGCAGCTTGATGCAAGTCTTTCACTGCTGTAACAATGTATATGATGCTGCGCCCCCTACAGCCCAGGCTCTGCAGCTTGATGCAAGTCTTTCACTGCTGTAACAATGTATATGATGCTGCGCCCCCTACAGCCCAGGCTCTGCAGCTTGATGCAAGTCTATCACTGCTGTAACAATGTATATGATGCTGCGCCCCCTACAGCCCAGGCTCTGCAGCTTGATGCAACTCTATCACTGCTGTAACAATGTATATGATGCTGTGTCCCCTACAGCCCAGGCTCTGCAACTTGATGCAAGTCTTTCACTGCTGTAACAATGTATATGATGCTGAGACCACAGAACATTCTTTTGAGTGTTTACTCATCAAAGCTGGGTGGTGATGTTTGTACACTAGTATCAATTCAGTTGCCAGAGTTTATCGTTTTTTTTTTCACATTTCCTGTTTTTAGATTTTACTGTCTTTCTTAAAGTAGGAAAGTTGTTTTCATTATAAGCCAAAATCTTTATAATGGTCTTTGGGGAAGCCTAAAATCCTGTCCCCCAACAGGCAAAAATTAACATCCCTTCCATCATTCAAATGAGCAAATTACAATTGTAATTTGGGCAGGTCAGTGGTGTAGCACATCTTTAATTTCAGCACTCAGGAGGCAGAGGCAGGTGGAGCTCTGTGGGTTCGAGGCCAGCCTGATCTACAGAGCGAGTTCCAGGACAGCCTCCAAAACAATACAGAGAAACCCTGTCTTGAAAAACAAAAGCAAACAAAACTGCAGCTGATTAGGAGTCTAAGATTTTTCATGCCATTAGTATAAAAAAGGAGACGAGCGTGTGTTTGTGCTGTTCCTGTTGGATAGGTGGTAACACACGACCAGATCTGGCCCATGGAGGCAGGAGACCTTGTGGGCTTTGTACAGTTAACTCTTGGGGCTGAAGACATGGTTCAGCCCTTAGGTGTATTGTCTGCTCTTGCAGAGGGCCTGGCATTCCGTTCCCGGCACCATCTTCTAGCCTCCATGCACACGGCATACTCACAACAGATATAGGCAAAACGCAGGTACACGTACAAGAGTAGAGATGAAAGCCACAGGCCAAGGCTTGAAGGCAGCAAAGTGTCTGAACCTACACAGAAGAGCCCACAGTTTTACTTCCAGCATCATACCCCCAAAATTAGAATCAAATGTAAAATATCAGAGTGGAAAGAAAAAACACAAACAAACTCCTCCTCCCTCTCACGTGTCATCATATCATCATACAGCTCTAGGATCCACCTTGTCTCTCCTCCTCAGCACCAGGGCCTTCAAGCCCCGCCATTCGTCTGTCAATCCCTTACTCTGACTTCCCTTCTAATTGTCTCTGTGAAATGAGGGCATGAAGTTTGCCCCTCCACAGTCAAGTTCAAGAGCATCTTTGACGGTGGTGCCCACCATCTCTCCGCAGTACCTGGGGAAAGCCAGGAAGAAAACCTGGGCTTGGAGTCTCCTTGCTGAAGTGTGGAGGATGAGGGAGGGAGCCCCAGAGTCTGTACTCCGTGGCCTACATCTCTCCATGCGGGCCAGCACCATCACCGCCTTACATGACGCAGCTCAGTGAGGAAAGGGAAATGGGAACTAAATCTTAGGATACCAAAATTCAGATCTGGGCTCCGAGGTACCGTCGACACGGACCTCAGACTCCACTTAAGATTTCACAAACAACTGCAGATGGCGAACGCCTGTGGTCCCTACAGGGAAAGATAAAGTAGGGGAATGAAGAGTTCCAGACCAGCCAGGGCTGTGGGCTGTACAGCCAGACTCTGACTCAAAGACAAACAAACAAACAAATACCAGCCGCTGCCTAATTAGGCCAGGGAGGGCTGAGAAGCCAAAACTCAGATTGGGGTAAACACACACACACACACACACACACACACACACACACACACACACACGAAGTGCCTTACACATACATACCTGAAGCATCTTACACACACACACAGAACCACAGATGGATTGTGCCTTACACACACACACACACAGAACAACAGATGGATTTTAGTGAATGGAAGGCTAAGTACTATCCCAGAAATATTTCTGAAGCTTTGCAGCTTTGTATTCAGAATATCTGGGTTGGGATTTTTTACCTATTCAGCACCATCGCAGATTCTCTGTCTCTGTTGGAAAGTGAAAAATGGGGGGGGTATTTTTAAAGTTTGTTGGATTTCAAAAGTGTATTTTTTGGTGTTTTCTTTTTTCAATATTCACTATTTTGATCAGGAGAAAAAAATGACATTACTCAACACGCTGTTATAACTTTAAGTCCAATAAATCTGTCTCGGAAGCAACTTGCTGCCCAAACAAATCATTTTGATGCCTTGGAAGCATTAATCATTTATCTGTGGACTGTGTCTGCTGAGTGTAATTAAACTTTTAAAACTTGCACTGTCTTCTCCTGTCCTCTCTGTGGGTAGCGTTCCAAAACACAGTCATAGATGGAACTTCCGGTGAGAAACCTATTCTTTAATATCCCCAAGCATTTTGTTAAAGATCTTTTTTAAAAATTATGTATACAGTGTTCTGCCTGCATGTGT